TGGCTAGCTTCTGGGACTCTTGCATTGTTGGCGGGTGAAAGAAACTGTTCTGATGAAGGCTTTCATCAAACTGCAAATGCTCAAATATGAAAAGGGAAGCAAGCGGCATCTGGGATGGAGTTTATGTTTTTTTCTGTTGGCATCGAGAGGAGCCTATCTCTCCTCTTTCACAATTCGCTTCTTAGGGATGATTAGTTAGTCAAGACTCGTATCCGTCGGAGATTCCTTTAGCATTGGCACCGTTTCGCAAAAAGTCGATCGGTCGCGAAAAGGATCCGGGATTTACCCACTCATTAGTACGTCTTCTGCAACCAGTGACGATTTCCTTGAATCAAAAACCATTACGGTAGATACACTACCGTTCAAGTAAATAAGCTTCTTTCTCAGATTGTATATATATCTATAGATTTAATCCCGTACGTACATTGTAATTAGATCCAACCCATAGAACGCGCTTCTCGCGATGAAAACTAGTATCACCAAGGATCATCCATGCACCTGTTCAACGTGCAGAGGATTGATCAACACAACATCGCAATTCCCATCTTACACATCCATACATACACTCAACTCACCATCCCATCAATCACACACTCATCCTCGCCTCCCCCGTAGCAAACCCCCCCACCAACCCAAACTCCCCCTCCACATCCTCAAACCCCTTCCCCTCAACCACCATCTTCGCCACGGCCCTCGCACACACCGGTATAATACCCATCCCCCCTCCATTAAACCCACACAACATCCACTGACGCTCTGTCCCGGGAACACGGCCTACGTGCGGCATCCCATCTGTTGTCTGAGCTTGAATGCCCGTCCAGATACTGTCTGGTTGGGCGGCGCTGTTTTCCCAGCCCAGGAAGGTTGTAGACATGTAAGATGTCCAGTGGGAGTAGATGTGTGGGGGGAAGTGGCCGGAGGTAAGGGAGTCGTCGACGGTGTTGTACCATAGGGATTTGTTGTGGGGGTTGGAGGTGTAGAGCCAGGAACCGCCGCCGACGACGATGCTGGAGTCTGGGCGGGGGTTTAGGTAGTCTGTTCCTGTTGGGTGGCTGGGGGAGGAGGGGGTGGATGGTGTGGGGGCGAAGGATATGTTGTAGGTGCAAGTCAAGTGGGGGGAGATGGGGTAGGAAGGGGTGTGGTGGCTGTTCATTCCTTTGTAGGGAATTATTGTGCCAGTGAAGGAAGGGAGGAGGGAGGGCGTGTAGGCGTTTGTGGCGTGGATGAGGGATGTAGTGGTGAGGGTGCCGCGGGGGGTGTGTAGAATAGTACCGTTTGATGTAGATGTGAGGTGGGTAACCGGCGTATTCATCTGCACATTCAACACCCCTTCCCCACCTCCATCTCCATCCCCATCCTCATCCTCCCCACTCCCACCAAACCTCCCCACCAACCCCTCCAAAACCCCCGTAACCAACTTATACGGCCAAAAACTCGCTACCTCACACGTAAACGCCCCCACCGCGCCCTTCACACTCGTAACCCCCTCCACATACTCTCCCTCCACCACACTCCTGCTCTTCGTCCACTCCTCCCCCTTCCTCACCGCATCATCAAACACCCTCTTCACCTTATCAAACTCCTCGCGGTCTTGGAAAACATCAAAACTACGCCGGAGTTCAAACTCGCATTCTTGAGCTAACCCCTCGTCTTCAACCAGCGATTTCAGCTCGTAAATCACGCGTTGGTGGTACTCCGCCATCTCCGTCCTCAGCGCGCTGTCTTGCATACCCGCCAGTGTCGCCGTCTTGATTTTAGAGTGCCCGCCGTTGCGTGCGGTGGCGCCGCTGCAGAGGGAGCGGGCGTCGAGGAGGACGACGCGCGGCATGCGTTTTCCCGTGGCGAGGTGGCTTTTGTGGTAAGTTTGGAGGATGTGGTATAGGGTTAGTACGCCAGCCATTCCGGAGCCGATGATGGCGATGTCGCAGGTTGAGGGGAGGGATGGGGTGCTGCGGAGGGTGGCGTAGGGATGCGGGTTTTGGAGCCAGTAGCTGGGCATGGGATTGGGGACGGGGAGGTAGTCGTGGGGTTGTTTTTCGTGAGAAGAGGTGGTGGTGGTGGTGGTGGTGGTGGTGTGGGTTGAGGGGGGATTGGGAGGGGCTGGTATGACGACTTTCCTGAGAACCATGTTTGTGAGTAGGATGGAGATGTTGTGATGGTTGGAGTAGAATGCGGCAACAACGACTGTTTATACATGCAAGATGTTGATCAACGGCTTGTTTGGGGGCCGTTTCGTTATGGCTTACTTCGGCGTTCGGGCTAAAGTCAGAGGCGTTAGATGTCGCATCTCACCTTCCATTCCGGTTGGCTGCAGGTGTTCTTATCGGTAATCGTACGTCAGTTTACGGGTATAAGCGCATGGTGAATCGGAAAAAGACGACTTTTGACGATCTTTGGATTTTGACTTGTATGTAGTCGGGGTATCATGGAAAGGAAATGGGTTCTAGCTCCTACACCAAAACGAGTCCGAACGACGGAACTATGGCACACTCGGTGTAGTTGGACTCGTTAGTCCACCTTGACTCTTCCTCCTGTCCTTCTTCTTCTTGGGAGCGGGAGCGATAATGCCTTTTTTACCCTGTGCTTCCAGTGTTGTCGGCGTCCCTACCGCCTTTGGTGTGCCCACTGCAGATGGTGCTCTGCTTGGTGGCTGTGTCTCGATTTTCAGCCCTGCAGCAGGTGTAGACAGTGAGGCTTGTGTTGCTTGCTCTTGTGCCTTGTTCCTCGCATTGACAGCGGTCTTGGTGCCCTCGAAGACGAACGCGCCTGGCTCGCCCTTTAGCGGGTTCTCGTCCATGTATTCGTCTCCATATGCGTTTGTGAGATTCAGCGAGTGCATGAATAGTGCGTCTGAGAACTCGGTGGTGGATGCAAGTGGATCTGCCGCCTGTGTTGTGGCTCCTGCTCCTTGTGACTGCGAACCCGCTGCGTCTGGGTCTGTTGGCGCCAGCGTCGGACTACCGATCCGACTCGCCGTAGTCGCCGCTTTCGCTGCTTCATGCGAAGGAGGGAAGTACGAGTATCCCGTCGCAGGTGTCCAGTGAGTCATGTTCTTGGATATCTCAGCCATCTGCTCCATGCGCGTCGCGACGGTAAGCAGTCTACTCTGCACAACGTCCAGCAAACTCGGCGCCATGAGGACCTTGGTGTTATGCGTGTACCAGTTGCCCTCGACAAACATGCCGTTCTTCTTGTTGCCATCATAATCTGTGACCTCGGCCTTGTGTTGGCGCTGGAGAATCCATGGGTGCCCTTCGCCCTGCCCTTCGCCTGCTATAACGTATTGTATTCCTTGTGGTACGCTGTTGAGTCTTTGATTCCATAGCGCCGGGTCATTCATGATTTGTTGGGCATTGGCCGGGTCATGGAGGTTGAGGTTAGTGAAGACGGATATGTTGATGCACTCTTCGGCGTCGAACCATGGCGACGAGGTGAAGTACCAGAAGAGGTTGTTTCCGGCATTCAGGTCTTGCCCGGGCAGAGTCGCGATGGTCGAGGGCGCATCGTATTCCTGCTCGTCGGGGGGTGGGAGTGTCGGAGGCATATTGGCGGTGGGTTTGTGAGTGAAGTGTGTTGGGCTTGTCTAGAAGCTCTTGGAGGTTGGTGACGGAGAAGCTACTGGTAGGTAGCACGGGCCTCTCACCTCCGCGTGTTGGCCGCAATCGACTTGTGCCGTCTTCTGCATACCACTACCACGACTACTCAACACCATGGATCTCGTACAGACAGTGCGCAAAGAAGGCAGTCGGTAAGCTTCCTTATTTCTGATGTCAAATGACCAACTGACAGTCTCCAGCGGCGGTCGCGCCGACTTCAAATGGGAAGACGTCAAGAACGATGCGCAACGCGAAAACTACCTGGGCCACTCGCTCATGGCCCCTGTCGGCCGCTGGCAACAAGGACGCGACCTGAACTGGTATGCAAAGGGCGACGAGGAATCCAAGGAAGCCGAAGCTGCGCGCATCAAGGAAGAGAAGCGCAAACTGAAGGAGGCCGAGGAAGACGCCATGCTAGCTGCCATGGGTCTGCCCGTGCCAGTGCGCAATAACGCGAACCTGACGCCACTCGGCCAGAAAGCACACGAGGCAGATGTCAAGGACACGCTAGACGAGAAAGCCAAAGTGGAGGACGACGACGACAAGGCGAAGAAGAGGGAGAAGAAGGAGCGTTCACGCAGACACAGAGACGACGACGGAGAGCGAAGGCGACGTCATCGATCGCGGAGTCGTTCGCGGGACAGGGAGCGACGCCACAGACATCGAGAACGTTCACGGTCGCGCGACAGGCGGAGGGACGATGGGCGCGATGACAGGCGCAGACACCGATCACGAAGCCGCGACCACAAGCGACGAGACGACCATACAGAACGCAGGCGCGAACGCGATGTCGATGCGAAGCGATCAAGATCACTCTCGAGAGACCGGAGACGGCCAAAGGACACGAGAAGCAGGTCACCACATGAGAGGAGCGAGAGGAGGAGGGATTGAGGAATGTGGCAGACACAGCGGGCATATCCTCAAAGCAGTTCTCATCAGACTATGGGCGTTCTTTAGATTACTACTGGTATGGTGCCACCCAGTTCAAGCGTTCATGAGAGCTTATGTAGCTTTAGCGAAATCTTTACCTTGGATATCCTGACATCGACCCAAATGGAGTTTTGTCAATTCTTCGAGCAACAGCGTATTCTGCATGCCGGACAAAGTCATCATACGGACCTGATTACCCCAGTCCAAACCCACATATCCCCACGCTGCACGCCTTCCGGGATCTCCCTCCGACTCGGCAACCTCGGCCGGCTCCCCATAGCCCCCCAAACCCCTCATCATCAGCATGTAACAATGATACACAGTAGCGTCTTCGCTATTGCATCCTCACCGCTGCGATTTGCTTTTCCTTTACTTCAAAATCCCGTTTACGTACCCATCCTTCTTTGCCTAACAACTCCGACTTGAACACCCTGATCCCATCCATCTAACCCCAGTCATCCCATCGCCAAAACCATGATCGCAGCACCACCATCCATACCCGACTGGCGCACCCTCGCCGCCTCAAAACGCGAATCTGTGTACGCTAAAATACCGAAAGATTGGCGTCTGCCTTCTTCGCAAACATCTCAGTACGCAGAAACGTCCAGTATATCTGTATTGGATGTTCCGCGAACATGCGGCATCCTGACCGAGAAAGAGCTAGACATTACGGAAAACTACGATGCCACTGATCTGGTCAAGATGATGGCGGAGGGCCAATTGAGCAGCACAGAGGTCGTAACGGCATTTTGCAAGAGAGCAGCTGTGGCCCAGCAGTGCGTGAGCTGCCTGACAGAGATTATGTTCGAGGAAGCGCTTGCTCGGGCGAGGGAATGTGATGAATTTCTCAAGAAAGAAGGGAGGGTTATGGGACCGCTGCATGGGCTGCCGATTAGTTTGAAGGACTCGTTCAACGTAAAAGGCGTTCAAGCAACACTTGGTTACGTCTCTTTCCTCGCGCACCCACCCGCCGCTTCGAACTCCTCTTTGGTTACTCTTCTGTATTCGCTCGGCGCGGTGTTCTACGTCAAAACCAACCTCCCTCAGACTATGATGACAGCGGATTCCCACAACAACATCTTCGGCCGCACGCTAAACCCGCTCAAACTATCTCACACAGCCGGCGGTTCTACAGGCGGCGAGGGCGCCCTACTCGCTATGAAAGGCAGCGTGTTGGGCGTGGCAACAGATGTAGCAGGATCCAACCGCATCCCCGCGATATGCTGCGGCGGCTCGTCTCTGAAGCCAACAGCAGGACGAGTCCCATTCGCAGGCGGCGTCGCAGTAGGCCGGCTGGGAAGTCCAGGTTCCGTCCCCGTAGTCATAGGCCCATGTGGCCGTTCTGTCCGCGACTACGAACTCTTTTTACGGTGTGTGGGCGACGCGAAACCGTGGCTTTACGACGAAAACAGCCTCAACGTGCCGTGGCGGCGCGTCCAGCCTTCTAGCAAACCCCTGAGGTTCGGGCTGGTAAGGGGCTGTAAAGAACGACCGCTCCACCCGCCTATCGCTCGCGCACTGCATACCACGGCGATGAAACTGAAAGCGCAGGGGCATGAGATCGTCCTCCTCGATGACAAGATACCAGATCTCTACCAAACCGCCCTGCTAGCCTGGAAATTCTTCATGCTGGATCCGAAGAAAACTCCACTGCAATACATCAAAGATGGCGGAGAGCCGCCTGTACCTTCGCTATCAACATGCTCGTTCCCCGAGTTGAAAGATTGGGTGCCTAGTCTGGATGAGCTGTGGGATTTGAATGTGAAGAAAGCGGGGGTTGTGAGGACGTGGCATGGGGTGATGGTTGGGGG